ATATATATATATATATATATATATATATATATATATATATGAAGAGAAAACATCTGGAAAGTTGTACACTGCAAGGGTTATTCCACTTCCTTTATTACCAGCTGGAATTTTTGTTTTTAACAGTGAGCAGGTATAACCTCCATAATTAGAATAAAATATTTAAAGAGACAGTATAACATTCTGGATTTGTCTTATGATAGTGTTAAATTTTTTAGTCAGCCCTAGCCAGTGTGGTTCAGTGTGCCCAAAAAGGACACAGGTTGGATTCCTGGTTGAGGCACATACCTAGGTCACAGGTTTGATCCCCGGTCAGGGTAGGTGTGGGAGGCAACTGATCTATGTTTCTCTCTCTCTTTCCCTTCCTCTCTCTCTAAAATCAATAAAAACATTTTTTAAAAATTTAGTTAAACTACTTTTTATAATGATTTTTTTGAAACAGAGAATTGTACTTATTTTAGCAATCAGTGATTTCTAGTGTACAAAATATATTTAAGACAAAGGTAAAATATATTTCTTTACTATCTAATTAAAAAAACAGTACTATGTTACTGGAATGGGCACTATCTTATTGTAGTCAGTGTGACAGTAAATCATGAATCTCAAAGGTGAATATGAAATAATATTCATAGGAGCCATGTGCAAGAATAGAAGTAAAAACAGACTTAGCAAACATTAATAATGCCATGTCCTAAAAATCCACAAAGATTAACATATTAAAGGGAAATTTCCTCCATCATATTAAAGTAAACTTTGTATAAAAGACTTGCCTGGAGTGATTAATACATTGAGTAATAAAACAATACAGAACAGGATAAATGTTAATAATCTATTGCATGGAAACAACTATTCACCTAAGCACCCAAAAGGATCTAAAAAGCTCGTGCAGGTAGGCAACTTCCACAAGGATGAGTAATCTTAGCCATGATTTCTCCTAGATTCACCCTCTGATCCAATCACCTGTGATCTGGATCAATGATTTCCAAAACATGCCGTCTCTCCCCAGATCCCCACCATTTCACCCACCAGGGAAGAACTGTGTCTCCCTTGTAGGTCAGGACAGGCCCCTACCTTCCCACTGGCCTGTCAGCACCAGGGTCCTGTTAATGACCACATCGATTTCCGTAGCTCCATCTTCCACAGCCAATCTGATCTCTTCTAATCGTGTTTTTAAATGAGTCTGTCCAGCTGGAAAGCCAGTAGCCACTAGTAGAGAATGAAAAAACAAGGAAGGAATTTCATTTGGTCAGTATCTCAACAAAGAATTTCAGACTAAGTCAGCATTTAGACACCAAAGCATTAAGGACACTTCCTGCATATTCTGAAAAGGTAAGTGTGAAGAAAATGAATGTTATCTCATATAGTATTGGCATCGAGACAAACATTAGTGTTATATCCTCAGAAGACCTGAAATCAAGTTGCTTCAGAGATGCTCATGAAGATGCTCTGAGTAAATGCCAATTTAAAATATGTTATCATAACACCGATGCCCATAAAATAGGAGCTGTATCCCTATCTTTATGGGCACTAATTACGCTTCCTACTCGTGATCAGTTGGCTGTCAATGTGTTCCTGATTTACCATTCACATTTTTAGCCGTTGCAGCCAAATTGTAGTGTAGGTTCCTCCACTGCCTATTTTAAAACAACCAACCAAGCAGATAGGAATAAAGAAAATAAAATAAAGAAAAAGCACCTGATCTGTCTGCAGGGATGGAGATGGGAAGAGCAGGGCCAAGTATAAAGAAAAGGAAAGTGAAAATACAACTACACTTTTGAAAAAGTATCAACATTTTTTACATGTGCACCATTAATTCCATTCTGGTTCCTATAGATAATCTTTTGTGTTACAACGATGTTATCAAGTTCCTTGGGTCTGCTACCTTAGAGGAAAGCATGTTTCTCTGTTACACAGAGGGAAAGCTAAATTGACTGAGGCTGATGAAAAATTAACATCCATAAAGGTATAGCTGCCAAATACTTTGGGAATCTTCACAAATGGGTTGTATATAAATACTGTATATTATGTTTCTTTTGATGTATTTCTAATAAAATAAATTAATAATCTTTATAGACTCCTTTTCTAAAGCACCAAGATATTCCTCCAACATCTTTTAAAAGTAGAATTTACTTTTATGTCTATCCATCCATCCATCTGGTAAAAGGCAGACACATACCCTCACACACACATACACTGAAGCTTTTAGAAAGACTTTTTTCTTTCCTTCATGGCAAGTCCTGCAGTGTCTATCTTAAGTCAGTAACTCCTGAACATACCCTCTTTTCTTCGGGGTGGCTCTCACCATCTCCCACACGGACAGGGACGGCCTCCCTAACTCCAATTCACCCTCTCTAACCTGTCCACTACCATGCTCTAACTCGGTCCATCATGAAGCAGATCATGGCCCACCTCTGCTTAAAACCTTTCAGGACGTTCCCCAAACCAGAACACAGCCCAAATGCAGCAGCCCGGCACGCTCTCCCCATAAGATCTCCAGCTTCAACCCCCAGCCCCCGCTCTGTCCCACCTTAGGATGCACAACTGCAAAGCACCCGCAGTTCCCTGAGCACGCTCCGCGCCTTCGCCCAGGCTCCCTCCTCTGTCTAAAAAGCAGCTCCCTGTCTGATCAACACTGTAAACTCCCCCTGCTCTTTCAGACCAGTGCAGTTACTATCGTCTCCAGGAAGCGTCCCCTCACTCACTCAGAGGAGTGTCACCAACCTCTGCAGAGTAAATCAGTCCTCGCTCAGAGTTACAACTGTACCTTATGCATATCTTTAATATTTTATACATCATATAATAGTCTACATATCTAGCACTATGATTTTTTTTTTAATTTGACAATTCCTCCAAAACAACTAAGTTTCCTGAAGGACAGGGATACAGTTCTATATTCTTGGGAATTAATATAATTCCCTTTGATTAAAGGAATTAGTAATTAGTTAGTTAATGTTAATTGCTACTTAGAAGGCAATTAATCAATACTAAAAGAATAAATAAATACAACCAATTATATACATAAAACTAATTAAAATCAGTGTAAAACTATATCTAATACCCCAAGGTGCCTGAGTCAAAGAACTGGAAACCGCACAGTGTTACCTGACGCCACTGGGATATTACAGTCTGCAGCCTTCAGCGCTTTCACCGCATCACACACGCGGGAAGGGTACACACAGACGGCAGCGGTAGTGATGCCTGTGAAGAAAGAAATCACAGCAGCCTTCTGTATGTGAAGCTCAATTCACACAATATGCTTTTAATTACTACCTATACCACAACATCGGCAGAAATCAAAATGAGAGAAATAAAGAATTCCCTCACGATGCTGCAACAAGTCCAAAGGTTTTTATGTTCCACATTCCCTTCCAGTCCTTGACAACATGGGTCATTTTCTCATCGTGATGGTCATGGAATAAAACAATTGTGATACATTGTTCTTTGAAGTTAGCATAACACCACTTGTTAAAAATTCTGAAATAATAAACTTGGTGCTCTTGGGTCAATGAAAATATCTTATCTCAAGTAATTAACAAAATCCAGATCTGTACAGCATTCAGAGAGGGGATGAAGAAAAATATAACTGAACCTTACAGGGTAGTATAGAAAAATGACATTTAATTAATCCTATCCCCTCTTTTATAAGAAATAATAAAATATGAATCTGGAACCCCATTTTGAGGAATAAGCTCTTACAAAAATAAAAATTTAAAAATCAAATAGCCGCTATAAAACAAAACAATAAGGTAATAGCATAAGACTCATACAGAGTTGTTACTTTTTTTTAGCTCCTCTCCCCTAAAGTGCTAATAATAGGTGCTGTTTTTATTGTCAACTCAAAAGAAACGTAATAAATATTTTTCAAAAGCTGTAGAGTTTTTTGGTCTACAGCTTATCTACAATGTATTGGGCCAATGTAGACTCATTACAGACAGGCACTCAGGAACCATGAAGCCCCCCTTCATGGACAGACCTGGCTCCAACACCAGCCCCGCAAGTAGCAGGGCACGTCTTCTTAGAAACAGCATTTTGCTTTCTCGGTCTTGGTCTCCTCATTTAGAAATAAGGAGATGGACCCTCAAAGTTCTCCTCCAGTTCTCAGACGTTAAAGTTCTATACTTACAGCAACTTTAGAAAGTAGCTGAACGTTCTTTCGTGTATACTAAGAGAGTGAATATAACTTTTTTCAAAAGATCAAACCTAACATACAAGCATGCAATATCTCCCATTTGCATTTTATTCTCAAAAGTATTTCATTTACTCACAGAAAATACTTTATGTATGAGATGTGATTATTAAGTAATGAGATTGGCTTTCTCACGTGTGGCTAGGGAATCAGAATCAGTATTTTAGAGTCACTGGATAGAAAATCTCCAAAACTGAAGAACTGGAAAGAAAAATCAAAAAACTCTCTACCAGCAACTTTAATCCATGATGGAAAGAACTGACCTTAACATGAGACTCAGGTTGTCTCCTTGCTGCTCTTCAGAGAAGAATCTAATTATTTGTCTGTGTACATAATTCTATCATGGATTTTACTGCTGCTATCATTGTAGCAGCTGAGTCTTGTCTAAAGTCCTCTAGATTTAGTCATCAATATTGTAAAAAGGTAAACACCAGACAGATTATACACAATTACATTACCTTTATCATGCATATTTAAAGCTTTCAAGAGATCTTCCCGGATTGGGTACTTGGCTTTATAACAGAGCCTTTGAACATTGGAATACGTGTCATCGCCTGAAAGTGTAGTAAGATCTATAAAGGTAACAGCTTTCAGGAGCCAAGCAGCCTGGTTTGAAGAAAAATAAAAATAAGGTTAAAAGAAATTAATCTGCAACCCAGTTAGTTAATAGAGGATCACTAGACAAACATGAATGCTAAAATCTGACATCTATACTATTCAAAGCATATCATTCTGTTACAATATAAACATTGCTAAGAGTGACCAACAACATGACCATTACACAGAATAATATAAAAGGGGGGAAGAGAAGCTTTAAACTTTTTTTCTCCCATAGATATTCCAGTTTGAAATCCTTAATGGATCTAGTCTCCCCACTTCTGACTTCACCATCTCATTCACAAGGAGCCCCTCACGGCTGCCCCAATACAAAGAACATGGGAGTAAGAGCATTTCTATCTTATATTTTACCCCTAGCCCTGGGAACATTAGAAAAAGACTCCCTAACTTCTTTGTTTGTTTCCATTTAATCCAATTCAATATTTTAAGTAATATTCATATTTCACAACTCATTCTGGTGAAATTCCTTTTAACTTTTAAATCAGCGTATTTCCAAGGAGGAACAAAATGTGAGATGTCACCCAAAAGGATTCAATCACAACACTCTGCCTCCCTTGTAAAATGAACTCTCAATTCCTTTTAGTCCTGCGATGCACAGCACGTGTTGGTTGGTATCCACGGGAGAATATGCTCACCACAAGTGCTCCACAAAACATCATTTCTTGAATTTTGAAAAATGATTTATGAAAATTAATAGTAGGGGAAACACGATGGTCAAAGGAGGTCACCTAAGGGCCTCAACAGTGGGCACACTAAGTTTAGATGTTATGGTTTGGAAATTAAAATAGAAGACATCCAAAGAAGCTATGTCTAAGAACCTGAATAAATGTGTTGAGAAAATGTGCCACTTAATGCACTCATGAATAAAGATGCCTCGAAATCATTTGCGGCTTTGCCACTCAAGAGTGATCACATTTTTAACTTGTTTGGATAAATGTGTTATCTTTCTCCAACCCATCATCATCACATATGAATTATTAAAATAAGTCATGGACAGCTGCAATCTTTTAAGTTTAGATGCATCTTGAGTGAAATTCAATACAGTGGCCTTGAGGGAAGAGCCCAGGCATTGTCAACTACGGGAACAGAATGCTCTAGAAGAACCCTTACTTGCCACTCCTTTTTCACGGTCCTGCGAGCCTGGATTTGTTGTGCACGCCTCAGAACCGCTGGTTGATTCACTTGTATTTTGGAGATCCAGCTGAGGTCTAGAGGGGAATGAAGAATACTTTTTGAAACTTAAAAGTTTTGTTAAATATCTTCACCCATTTTTTACACGGTCCTTGAAAGGATATATTTATCATAAAGTCCTTTTAGAGCTTATGTTTCTTTTTCACATGACTACAAATAAATAACCTTGTTGAAAGAAGCCCAGTCATGAAAAGGCACACTTCACGGAAAGTTAAGTACATTTGGAACTAGAAGAGCCTGTATTGATTCATTACACAGACATGCCTAACAATGGGAGGAAACGTTGTGTTACCCGGGGCCACGTGCCTCACTTCTGACAGCAAAGACTTATGTGTGAGTGCCCAGGCCAGGAGAGCAAATGATTAAAACACACTTAAGTGAATTGATGTTGGGGTTTAAAGGAATTCTCGATCACTACCCCCTTACTGACAAGATTAATATCTACTACATGTGACATGATACAGCCCATTCCTCCCTCAAAGGAGAATTTTTCAGAATGCATTAGAAACTACAACACTGATGTAACAGAAATTAGAACCAGGAAAAGAAACAAGCTCCTAGAAATTCCAGGAGACATCGCGGTTGCTCTGGTTTTGAAATGCTCTCTCCCACGTCCAACCCACCCGCATTCTTGACTGTGATTTCTACTTTAAGACCCAGCCCAGAGGTTTTCCTTTGTGAAAACACTGCCGGCTCCCCAAACAGAGCCAACATTTGGATGTACCTCTACTAGGGAAGTTGTATTTGGTTCACATTGGAGTTGTGTTCAGTTGTCTCTTGTGCTTCCTATGTTGTGAGTCCTGACCTCACTCATCGCTGAGCGTCTAAACCAAACACCGTGTCTGGTGCACATGCACTTCCACTGCGTCCACGAAACTGTAACACAGGCGGCCTCACAGTACGCTGAGCACGTACCCATGTACCTTTTATAAATAACCTCACTTGTATATCCCGCTAGCAACCTCATGTTTTTTAAAGAATCTTCTCAGAAGAGCCTTAAAGGACGACTGTGGAAAAAGTCAGTCATTAGGAAATGTGTGACAATTCAACAATTATGTATAATGTGATGGGGGAAGCTGCTGATTGCATACTGTACTATGTAACAACACAAATAATAAATTATTTGCATCTACCACAAAGATAAAACCACAAAGAAAACCAGTTTCCACCAAAGATATTCTCTCTCATTTCCATTTGATTCCTCTTATCAATTTTAATGGTGTAGAAATTCCAAGTTACCATTTGAGTGATTAGTAATGATATTCTTATTTAAATATCACTGAAGAAGGAACATAGTCTGGGTGCTTTTTTTCCCCTAATTAAACTATTTTGTTAGCCGAAATCATTTAAAAAACAGATTTTTAACACTTCAATCCATCTGTTCCTCAAAGACACTGTATGTTTTCCCGCTTGTCTGCTGAGCCAGCTTCACGGGGGACTGGGAATCTAAGGTCAAGCAAGTGAAATCTGCCTCTTGGTCCCCACCCAGACACTGATTTGGTTCTCAGGAGAGCCCAAGGAAATCAGACCAGGTAGACCCAATGGACTTGTCCCAACTTATCTGAGACCTATAAGAACCTCTCTCTAACCAAAGATAGGGAGCTTTTTTTTTTTTAATTACTGATAATGATGATCAAGTTTGTTGTAAAGACTGTTTCAGGCAGATAGTAAAAATGAGTGAAGGGAGCAGTTGGGTGAAATCCTCACCACCAGGCAGCCGTTGACAGTGGTCACAAGGGGGAAGCCTATGATTGTGGAGCAGGCCTTGAGGGGCTGTCCTTACTTCATGTGACACCTCCTGAAAGGGCCTCCCCACTTCTCTACTCTGCACCCACTAAGACCACCGCTGCCAGAGAGGGGTCTCGGACCATCCCAATCTTCATGATCTGACTTTTCCTCCCTCTCGTGCCCCATCTTCTCCCTCTCCGCCAACTGAACACCATGGCACAGCCTTTCTAAAGCACTGGGAGTTCACTGGCACATTCCACCATGTCCTAGAATGCCTTTCCTTATCTTATCTGTATAGTGAACTCTTACTCAACCTCTAAGACTTAGTTCAAGGATCTGAACATTTTTCCGAAGAAGACATACAGATTGCCAACAGGTACATAAAAGATGCTAAACATCACTAATCATCAGGGAAATGTAGATCAAAACCCCAATGAGAGATCACCTCACACCTGTCAGAATGGTTATTATCCAAACAATGAGAAATAAGTATTGGTGAGGGTGTGGGGAAAAGAGAGCCCTTGTGCACTGTTGGTGGGAATGTAAATTGGTGCAGCCACTAAGGAAAACGTATCAAAGTTACTCAAAAAAATAAAAACCAGAACTACCAAATGATCCAGCAATTCCACTTCGATTTTTTTCCCAAAGGAAACAAAATCACTACATCAAAAAGACACTGGCACCCCATGTTCACTGCAGCATTATTTACAGTAGCCAAGATATGGAAACAACCTAACTGTCCACTGAAAAACGAATGGACAAAGAAGATGTGCCCCGTGTGTGTGTGTGTGTGTGAATGAATGAAATGGAATATTATTCAGCCACGCAAAAGGAAATCTTGACATTTATAATGATATAGATGGACCTTGAGGGCATTCAAAAAAAGACAAATATTGTATGATATCACTTAGATGTGGAAGCCAAAAAAACAAAAACTGAACTCGTAGATACATAAAACAGATTGGTGGTTGCCAGAGGTGGGC